TACCTCCAGCAGCTCCTCCAGCCCCAGCAGCTCCGTACCTCCAATACGAGCACCTTTGAGACTAGCGGCTCCAGCACCTCCAGCAGACAAAGTATCAGCACCACTCCCAGCTCCAGAGCCAGCAGCTCCAACAGCACCTCCTGCGGCAGGGTCAGCAGTACCACCAACTCTAGGGTCCTCAGACCCAGCTGCTCCAGCGTCGCCTGCTCCTTGCTCACCAGCGCCAGTACCCTATGAACCGGCACCCCCTGCAACAATGACGTCAGTAGAAGCGCCACCAGCGGCAGAGCCTCGAGCTCCAGCAGCGCGACCCTGACGGCGAGCGTACCACTCGTGTAGCTGCTGTGGGGAGAGAGGCTCACGCCGACGAGTGTGACTACGCAGGCAGCCACTCCAAGGAGACCGCTCACCAGCAGCCTCAGTACCCTCAGGCGCAGTACTCCCAGACTCAACACCCCCAGACCCAGTACCCCCAGGTTCCTCACGCTCAGGCTCAGCAACCCCAGACTCCACACCCCCAGGCTCAGCACCCCCAGGCTCCGCACCCCCAGGCTCCGCATGCTCAGGCTCAGCACCCCCAGGCTCCGCACCCCCAGGCTCAGCACCCCCAGAGGCAGCAACCCAAGCAGGACCACCCCCAGTCAGACCTGAGTCACCAGTGACCTCAACCGGCGCGAGGCGGGGTCGTAAAACTGCCAGCCAGGTGCGTCAGGAGGGAAGCCAAAGAAGACACAGAGAACCGCGTGAGCAGAGAGCTTGTCCGCGGTGAGATCGCGGACAAAGGCACGAGCACCCCAGACCCAGAAACGCGACGCATCGCCAACCTCCCCCGTCCAACGCAGTGTGGGCGAGGTCTCCGGCAAGAAGACACGGGGCCAGAGGTTGAGCTGATGCGCGGCGTACCGGACCGCAAACAGCCACAGAAAATGGGGAGCAGCCGCATGGATCATGGAGGTACGAGCAACCTCCTTGACTAAGCTGATGTGGTGCTCAGCAACCCCATTCTGCTATGGTGAGGCCGGAAGCGTGAACGACTGGAGGATGCCCTCCTCCTGACAGAAGGCCTGCAAGAGGTCGGAGGAGAACTCACCGCCTCTGTCAGAGTGCAGACGCAGGACAGGAAAGTCCGACTGGAACCGCTCGCGGAGCTGGAGACAAACAGCGCGGATCCAAGGGATCAAAACAGTCGGGACCTCACCCTTGGTGCGCAAGGGGAAGACCGTGGTGTAACGCGTGTAGTCGTCGACGACCAGTAGGAAGTACCGCTCGCGGCCCTGCCCCTGGATGCGGGCTGGGCCCCACACGTCCAGGTGGAGAGTCTGCAGTGGAGCCTCTATCGAAGGGAACGAGGAGGAATGAGGAGCGGCGCGCTGCCGCCCCTCGACGCAAGGAATGCAGGGCGGTGCAGGCGAGGGAGGGAGGGAGGGCAGAGACCTGGGAAGACCAGAGACCAGGGAGCGAGAGTGCATGCCACGAAGGCGGGGCAGGGAGGGGTGACCAAGGCGGTGGTGCCAAAGGAGAGTCTGGTGCGACAGGCGGCGACACTCACACTGGGTAGCTACCTGAGCGGACGCGTACAGCTGAGGAGACAAAGGGGCGTAGCGCGACACAATGGTGAGGGTGTACAAACTAGACCCAGTCTCTCGTGTGAACGTGGCCAGGTGGCGGCCAGTCCGAGAGCACGTGCAGATCGCCACACGCTGTCCTCCAGGAGTAAAGGTGTCAACCCAATGATCCTGAAGGACTGCGTTGCTCACCAGGTTCGTAGAGAACGAGGGGATGTGGAGACCTGACAGCTCACCGGACGGGACCGCCGGACACGGGAGCACAGTGGAGGAGCGAGCAAGTACTGGGCCCCCAGAGGGGTCAGCCAGTGAGACAGGAACAGGTGCAGGGAGGGGAGTGACTGTGGTACTGTCGCGAAAGAAGCAGCGGGAAGCACCAGAGTCAAGTGTAAAGGTGTGCAAGGCCTCAGCAGGCGCAGTACCAGAGAGAGCAGACTCACCAGGCCCTCAGATTCGTTTTTGGCCTGTCTGATTTGTCAGACTGGTACACAGTTTTAGTCTGAAACTCTCAGAGTTGGTATTTTAAAAAGGCTGAAATTTCACAATGCCTAAAAAAAAAGTCTGAACATTCGAAATCAATGTATTCAATGTTCATCAGAAATGTATTCAGTGTTCCATTCACCTTACCGAAACTAGACTAGGGGGATTTCGGGAGAACATGCTCTGACGGCGAATCTGCAATGTCAGACGCGAATCTTGTGGTGATTGGGTGAATCTTGTTGTGATTGGGCAAATCTTTTGTCAGAGCGAATCTAGTGGTGTGACAGGGCAAATCTGCAATGTCAAACGCAAATGTTTTGTGATTGGGCAAAATTTTTGTGCTCTGACGGCGCAAATCTGTGGTGTCCGGACGACTTGGCTATGATTGGGCGAAATTTTCATGCCGTAAGGCGCGGATTTGCTATGTCAAGGCGATTTTGCGTTGACAGTGCGATCTGCTGTGACCCGTGAAGTCCGAATCACCAGTCAAGAACTCGTTTGTACTTTGAATTCATCAGAGTACACTCCCGACAAACTCTGAAACGTCGAGTTAGCCTATAAAAAAAAAAATCTGATTTTCACAGAGTTGAGGCAAAAAAAAATCTGATTTTTACAGAGTACACCCTAAAAAAAATCTGAAATCTCAGACAAAAACAAGCAAATCAGACAAAAAACTCTGACTTCTGGGGGCCTGAGACTCACTAGCACCTAGAGCAGCAGCCGCTATACCAGGATCAGGGGGCACACACAGGTAACAGTCACCCTCAGTAGTACCAGTCAGAGCACACATGACAGTAAGGATAGTGTCATAGTCTAGAGCAAAGATATCCACCTTGTTGCGCAGCAGCTCTAGCCAGGGGGGGAGCTCAGCCTCATCGCCAAACACTGCACGCCAGGCGTCACTCAGATGGGCAAAGCAGTGAGCCTGTGTGTGAGAGAGCGTCCCGCAAGTCTGACCAGCCGGATCACCTGTGCGAAAGACGTACGGGCAGCGGACAGTACTCCTACACCCCCCACTCTGAGCGTACCACTCACGAAGCTGCTGGCGCGTAAGGGTCTCGCTCGGACGCCGCTGCAGCTGCATCTGGCCACCGCCAGGAACTCCGCACTGACCAGCTCCACCGCGACTGCCACGACGGCCGCCGCCAGCACACCACCTAGCGTACCACTCACGAAGCTGCTGGGGCGTAAGGGTCTCGCGCGGACGACGCTGCAGGTACATCTAGCCACCTCCAAACACTCCCCACCGAACAGCTAAACAGCGACTGCTACTACGGCCGCCACCACTCCCGCTGCTGCCACCACTGCCATCACCACTCCCACCGCTACTACGAAGTGAAGTCATAGCGGGCAAGCAAGGAGGCGCGCGACCAGTAGGGCAGTACGGAGGGAAGGCAGTAGCACTAGCAGCAGTAGCAGCAGTAAGAGCAGCAGAACGGCTCGGTGAGGCTGGGCTGCAGCACCTCCAGCACTCCTAGCAGCACCTCCACCAGCAGCAGCAGTAGCACGAACAGCAGGGCGGATCGGGATGGGCATGGCGGCTCGGGCTGGGCGGCGCGGCTCGGGCTGGGCGGCGCGGGCAGCAGGGTGCGCGCTATGTAGGGCAAATAGCAGGGCGCGACGCGCGGGCTGCAGCAGGGCGCGACGCGCGGGGCAGCAGGGCGCGACGCGCGGGCTGCAAGGCGGACGGGCGACGCGACGGGCTGGGACAGCCCGTACGGGCGACGCGACGGGCAGGCAGGGCGGACAGGCGACGCGACGGGCTGCAGGTGCGCACGGCGCGACGGGCAGCCGGGGCGCGCGACGCCAGGCAGAGCAGAGCGTGCGCGGGGCAGCGCAACGCGGGGCAGGGCAGGGCGTGCGCGGGGCAGCGCGACGCGGGGCAGGGCAGGGCGTGCGCGGGGCAGCACAACGCGGGGCAGGGCATGGCGTGCGCGGGGCAACGCGGCACGGGGCAGCAGCAGCAGGCAGCGCGAAGGCTGCAGGAAGGCGCGCGCAGCGTAGCACGTCACGGAGGCTAGGCAGGGCGCGCGAGGGGGGCGCCGTGCAGGCAAGGCAGAGTGCGCGCAGGCGGCGCAGCGCAGGCAAGACGTCGGGTAGCTCAGTAACCGCAACGGTAGGTGGGCCCGAAAAAAAAGACGGTCCTACGGACCTACTGCTCTGATACCATGTCAGAAACTACTAGCAGGAATGAATGAACTAGGTCAGAGTTTGGTACCTCACTACAGCCTACACATATATAACACATGTATAATTTAACACGAAGTCCAAGCTGAAGAAGATGAAGACGCTAAACGCTGAAGTTGTGATTTTACATAGCATCCGCACCAAAGCCGTGGAGTTTCAGACGAAGTACCCGGTTGCTGAGTGCGAACGAGATGGGTACATGGTCCTTGCACGCTTACCACCATCTGCTTTGGGGCCATGCTTTACAGCAATTGCGGGTGATATGATTATCTGAGTGCTCTTCAAATGATTTTGACGGCTGCGCTGGTTGTGTTCAACCAAATAGATTTTAGTAGCAACAAGAGGTGTCACGAGGCATCTCCTGACGTCCAGACAAATTGAGCACGCCAGTGGTTGCAACAATCTATATTCAGCTATGTGCTGTCTTTATGGAACTTATCACCCTCCTTCGCAAACTGTAGTGGGTCTCAACCAGAGTTGTTTGGGGGCAGTCTCTGATATAGTCACAAGGCTTGGGTGTGCCAAAAACGAAAGATTGCCTTCAAATAGATCAAGCACCTGCACTTTTTTTCACGGCAATAACTAAAGCAATCGCTTACACAAGAGAAGCATGGTAAGCACAAGAGTAGACGAGGCACAACAGATGCAAATGGGGCCGATGTATCAACTGCCATCAACCTCCATGCCTCATTTATTTTCCATTGGTTGCTAATCCTGCAAAGACATTACACCTTGCACACCATTCCACCGTTCCACGCCAAGCGCATTCTAGAAAGGAGTGGACCCAAGCACATTGCCTGCCGGCGAGTAGTCGCACACCCACATGCACCCCCCATCCGCACACTGGGCAGCACCGCACCCCACGTGTGTGGTATCCCGCCACACCACCTGCGTGTAGTGCAAGCACTGCTTGCCAGCAGCACACCCCTGCGGCACGGGGCTGTATGACCAGTCCGCCTGCTCCGCCACCCACGACTGCACGGCCGCCCGGTCCTCCTCACTGCTCAGCTGCACAGGGCCCTTCCAGTACAGGTTCTGCCCAAGCCCATCCGCTCCTCCATGCTCCATCACGCATCCTCTAGAGGCAAGGTTGTTCGCCCATGCCTGTGCCGTTGCTGCCACCCCATCATCCCATGAGAGGTCCGGCACACCCACTTCCCGCCGGGCCTTGTTGTGCTCCTCCAGAATGGCTGCCACGTCCACAGCTGCTGCTGCTGCTGCTGCTGCCACCGCTGCTGCCGGTGTCACCGCCGGTGCTCGTGTCACCGCCGGTGCTCGTGTCACCGCCGGTGCTCGTGTCACCGCCGGTGCTCGTGTCGCCGCCGGTGCTCGTGTCACCGCCGGTGCTCGTGTCACCGCCGGTGCTCGTGTCACCGCCGGTGCTCGTGTCACCGCCGGTGCTCGTGTCACCGCCGGTGCTCGTGTCACCGCCGGTGCTCGTGTCACCGCCGGTGCTCGTGTCACCGCCGGTGCTCGTGTCGCCGCCGGTGCTCGTGTCGCCGCCGGTGCTCGTGTCACCGCCGGTGCTCGTGTCACCGCCGGTGCTCGTGTCACCGCCGGTGCTCGTGTCACCGCCGCTGTCAGTGCAGCCATCCGAGTTTAATTCGTCCAGCTGCCTGGGATTGGAGGCTCGCAGCAGCAGCTTGCGAGGCGCAGTGACGCTCTCTAACTGGCCGGTGCTGCTGATGGGTGTGATGCTAGCGGAGGTGACTCCGGCGAGAGCTGGCATGGCGAGTGCAGATGTGACTACTGCGAATACTGCAGACAGGCAGGGGTCACGAGTGGAAATGGGAGGAGAGGGAATGAAAGAGGCGAAGGCGTTTAAGAGAAAATGATAGAAGAGGGTAGGAGGGGAGAGGGGCAATTATTAGAAGGAAGAACAGGAGAAGAAAGTTCATAAGAACGAAGGATGGAAAGAATTATTCAAGAAACGGAAGGAGGGGGGAGGAGGAGAGATTGAAGGAAGGAAGAGGAAGGAAGAAAGAAGAAAGGAGGGGAGATGAAAGGAGGGGAGATGACAGAAGGAAGGGGGGGTCACGGAGGGGTGAGGAAACGAGGAACGGAGAGGGAAGAAACCGGAGTGGAACGAACAGGTGAGAGGAACAGAAAGGGAGATAGGAAGGGCAGTAACAAATCTGACTATCAGCAACTTAGCACTCACTGACCAACTCTAACCACAACGGATTTGCTGACTCACTCTCTACCCTCTCTACCCAACAACAATGCTTCCGGCTTTCAGCCTATTCCAAACCGGGTCCGAGAACTCACCCAGCGCGGCGCAAACGGAATTCAACATTCGGACGACGGCCATAGTCAGAGATTCCGATTCTGTCAGTCGAGGATAGGCAGGCCGTCTGTAAGCTGAGAGCTTGTGAAGAGAACTCTCACTGACTGAATTAACCTGTCAGGATGGTAAAGAGAGACTGAACTCTGAGCCTGATTGGGTCAGACAAGGCTGGAATGGCAAGAGCGAGCGGGCTGGTGAAACTACGGCGAGAGATGATTTGAGGGTAAAAGGCAGCTCCATTATGTAGGTTAAGGTCGCGATTCCAGACGGAAACGGACAACCGAGACGTCGTTGCTCCGTCGGAGCCAAAGTAGGTCGCACGAGTGCGACTTCGTAGATATGAAACGTCGCAAAGCTGTTTCTAAGGGCAATCGGAAATCTCTAGCAGATGTGCTACGAGCAACCACAGGACCCGTCGGCAATGACGCCTGAAAGGCGACGCGGCGCCGCGTAGATCAGAACAAACCCGACGTCGTGCGAAAATAATCTCGCGGCTTGGTGTGGAGAGAACAAAACCAACTGTGTTCTGTCTGGACGGAAATTGTGATGTTGCCGAAGCGCAACCAGCAGGCACAAATAATTGCGCTGGTAGGGAAGGTGAGTGCGGCTTACTGGCGTCTCGTTTACAGTCCATGTGTGCCCAGACCGGTGCCGTAACGGTTCGGCACGGTGATTAGAATCTGCTACAAACATAATTATCTGGATACACAATTGTCCACAATGCTATTTATCCATGTCCCTTCCCTTCTGCCATTACCGGTATTCACTACAAACGAGAAAAGAAATGAATAATACAAAAAAAAATTATCCTGCAAACATAGTAGTATAAGCGCATACAAGCACAGTGCACAAGCACATGCGCTTAACGTATTGCACACTAGGAGCCAAGAGTCCTACAAAAGGAAAAAACCAAGGTCAATGAACGAGTTAGTTGATAACCTCCACGTTTGTGACGGTACTGACCGACGCGCGGGTGAGGACAGAAACTGTTCAATTTACAAGAAGCACTTGCATGGATCAAATGGTCGGTCCCATCCCGATTCCCATCCAGGGCTGATTTTATCAGGGTAATTACCCTGATTTCAGGGTGATTTCAGGCTTTCCACTTTGCAGAGACTAAGATTTCAGAATTACTAATTTCTAAACCCTGTTCAAATCAGAGTATTAGTTTTCCTATCCCTGATTTTGAGTATAGTGTAACAAACTAGCCTGTTGGTGGACCCTGACTTAATAGGGTATCGAATCTGTGGTCCCTTATTTTGACCTTATCGAGAGAAAGTTTCTCGAAAATTTCCTTTCGATATCCTCTTTCGGGCCCTGTTCTGTTGCCGCACCACTTGGTGCGCCCCCCTCCTGCACAGCACCAAATTGATGCTGCTTCCGAGGTTCTACCGGTATTCCTACAAGCTTCGTTTTCGAGGGCGTATTCCAGGATACCAGGGTCGGGAAACTGAACCCCTTCCCGGACCTAACGAGTGCTGTGCAGTCCTGTCCGCCCTCCTTTGCCCAAAAGAACGGTGAATCAGTGAAGCACTCGCATCCCCCTCTCCCAGGCAAAATGGGTGCGGGGGTGGTGCGCCCCTGGTTCAGAGTCAGAGGGGAGATCCAGGGTTTGTACCAAGTGGATCAGGGCAGGAATAAATGTTTTCCCTTTGTCCTGGTTGGCCGCTTTGCTTACAGGCCAACCAACTATCCAATGGTTGGTGACGAGAGGAGGTTTTACGGTCTGCGGAGGAAAAAAAAAACCGTTGTCCTAAAATTGCTCGGAGGGGGGCACGAAGACAGCGTGAGCCTTAAAAAAATTTGGCTTCGGAAGCGCCTTGGTGAAGATGTCTGCAGTGTTGGCCTCGGACTCCACAAACTCGAAGCGAGCCTGTCCACGTCTCTGCAACTCTCGCAGAAGGAAGTACCTGACGTTAAATGTGCTTCACTCTGCTCTCCAGTCGCGGCTCTCGACAAAGGAGAATCGATGCCTTGTTGTCAGTGAACAAGGTCGGTGCAGAGCTCGGCCGCTCACCAAGGTCGGCGAGCAAGAACGTCAACCAACGAAGCTCCTGTGCCGCCATGGCACCAGCGTAGATCTCAGCCTCAGCTGTAGAGGTCGAGACCGAAGAGGAGCGCGTGGACCGCCAGGAAACAGCTCCAGAACCCAGGCTGAAACAGTACCCCTGAGTAGACCTGTAAGTCTCAGCGTCGTCAGCGTAAGAAGAGTCACAGTGACCAGTAAGTACGACAGACTGCTGCCCTCCAAGAACTAGCCCCACGCCTGATGTCGTCGCTAGGTACTTCGCCACCCTCACAGCTGCTATCCAGTGAACAGGACGGTGTCTCCCTGGCGCAACAAAGCGCGCAAGGATGCTGAGAGGAGAAGCGAGGTCCGGGCGAGTACAAGTCATCAGGTACATGAGGCAACCCACAAGCTCTGCGTAGGGACCACTAGGCTCAAACGGCTCGTCAGGAAAGGGTCCAGTGAGTCTGTGGTCAACAGCAAGAGGTGTGCGCTGTACTGTGGAGTGCTGAAGCCCGAACCGCTGAAGGACCTGCTGCACCATGTGTGACTGTGAGAGTGTAATGGTGCGAGCAGCTCTGTCCCTAGTGATCTGCAGGCCAAGGTAGTGGCACAGCTCACCAAGGTCAGTGCACGTGTGTCTCTTCTGCAGTTCGGACTTCACGTCTGCCAAAGCAACCCCGTCAGTAGTGGCGAAAACGAGGTCGTCGACGTAGACCAGAACGAAGAACGGTGTGGAGCCACAACGAACGAACAGCGACGGGTCGGCAGAAGACGGCTGGAACCCAAGGTCAGAGAGGGTAGAGCGGAGAGTGTCGTGCCACTCACGAGGGGCCTGGCGAAGACAGGTCGCCTCAGCCTCCACTGGGTCCCAGGAGGGAAAGTGCCAGTGAAGGCAGAGGGACGACGCAGCCAGACCTCCTCGTGTAGGCTGCCCTGACGTAGTCTCTCTGTGCTGCAACGTGCAGCAACACCCGAAGAGTGGTCATCTTCGGGGTAGGCGCGAAGGTCTGAAAGAAGTCAACTCCCTCGCGCTGACTGAAACCTCTAGCCACGTAGCGCGCCTTGAAGACCGGAGGAGATCCCGGTGGCCGCTTCACCCTGTAGATCCACATGCCATCGACTACGTTCGTCCCAGGGGGAGGAACCTCATCGACGTAGGTGCCTGTGGATCTGTAGGAGGCCATCTCTGCGTCCATGGCAGCTCTCCACTGAGAGGCCCAAGGCCCTGACACTGCCTCAGCGTAAGTGCGAGGAGTCGGAATGTCAAGGGCGTCGGGGTCACCCTCAGGGGCGAGGAGCATGGCACAGAGATGAGGGGAAGCGGCTGCCAGGAACTCTAGCTCAAACTGCCTGTCCTCTAGGGCGTCACAGCCAAGGGCAGACACACCCCCGACGGCCAGAGGACTGGTAGGAGGAGCAGCCACAAGAGTGGTGGCGTAGTCAAGGCGGCGAGTAGAGGCAAACTCAGTGACCGCGGCAGTAAGAGCGGAGACAGAGGACAAAGAGGCACGAGGGTGGGTAACAAGAGAGGCGAGAACACGAGAGAGAACAGGACGGTACGTGCGGTAGTAGTCAGTGACAGGGGTAGAGAGAGAAGCTGTGAGGGCCGACTCAGGAGGAGAAGGAAGCACAGGAGGAGCCGAACGAGGCGGACTAGAACGCAACAGGGCTGTACGAAGGTCAGTGAAAGGAACAGGGGACGAGGGACGAGCACGAGGAGAGCGACGAGTAGGCCAAGGACGAGACGGAGGAGGAGACGACAAAGGCGGAGAACTGGGGAAAACAGCGGGGGAGGAGTCAGGAGGAGGAAACGTGGGACCGTAGACAGGAGGAGAGGGGGAGGAGGAAGGAGAGCGAGAGGGGAGACCAAGGGTCCGAAGACCCGAGACAGGAGGAGGAGGTGGCTGCTGCTGCTGCTGCTGCTGCGGCTGGTGCTGCTGCTGCTGCGGCTGCGGCTGCTGCTGGGACTGCTGCTCCTGCGGCTCCAGCTGCTGCTGCTGCTGCTCATGCGGTTCTAGCTGCTGCTGCTGCTCCTCCAGCCGCTGTAACTCCCTCTCCTCTCTCTCCAACTCCAGCTGCTCCTCACGGGCACGGTGAACGCGAGCCTGGAGCCCAGTCGGGTAGGGGTGGGGGGGCGGAGTAGTGTCCGGGGCAGCGGCAGCCCCAGAGTCCACCTCCGAAGCACCAGGCGCACCACCCCCAGAGGCAGCACGAACATCAGCGCCAGACCCAGGCTCATCAGAACCCGACGGGGGCGCACCCTCACCCCCAGACGGAGCACCCCCAGTGTCCGCGCGACCAGCACCAGCTCCCGGAAGACAAGAGTCCTCTGCACCCACCGGCTCAGCTCCAACTCCAGCACCCCCAGAACCAGAAACCGGTACAGGAACAGGCTCAGCACCAACCTCTCGAGAGCTAGCACCTGCAGCAC